TGCGGTCGACCGACAGTGATACATTCAGCGCAATATTTTGAAGTCTTACTCCCCACTCTTTACACGGTCGAGAATAGCATACGGGCAGTGTAGCATACGGCCCATAGAGAGTTACTGCTATTGTCAAATGCTCTTGATCCTTCAAGGTTTCAAATCACTTGAATACCTACATCAATGAATGTCTATAAAATCGCAGATTCTAGAGTATTCCTTACGGTAATGTGTAGCGTACGCCATGTAACACTCCGCTTATCCTAATATGGAATCAATGTATGCGTTACCTAAGCAAGGAAGAGACCCTAGGCTGGTCATGGACTGATTGGTTTTATTACAGAGATTTCTCATTTGGTGGCCATGGCTCCAACACAGAAGTTATACAACGTCGTTTTCGTATTGGGACCGCCAGGCTCAGGAAAAGGAACTCAGTGTATAAAAATCCATGAAGTGCGCCACCATTTATCAGTGGCTGGAGTAATCGTATCATTAAAATATGTGTTCTAGAACCTTGGCTTTATGCACTTGTCAGCAGGAGATCTACTGCGTGCTGAACGGCAACGACAAGGTTCTCAATTTGGTCAACTAATCGAGCACCACATAACGAATGGAACCATTGTGCCTGTGGAAATCACCTGCAAACTATTAGAAAATGTAGGACTTTGCCACTTCTAGGGTAAAGGCCAAAAATCACAACGAAGTCATCAATAGCTCCACAAAGCGGCCAGCACTTCTTATCAGTGAATTATGGTTTGCGGTCTTGGTAACAAAAAAATGATTGACTGGAGCTCCAGAGTGGTCTTTGCTCTGCATTGGAAGTATTGACGAAAATAGTCCTATGTTCACACAATCGATTAGCCATTGTAATGAAATGTTCAGGCAATGGATGCTGCAGGTGATGCTAGGGGGTTCCTCGTGGATGGTTTCCCTCGTAATCAGGACAACTTGGAAGGATGGGAGCAACAAATGAAAGGCAAGGTGAGCTCAGTGTAGTTTTTATTCTGCGTACACATTTTACTTTACGGAGTTAAGGGCATGCCCCAGGCCGGCATCAAAGAAAAAGGAAAAGAATCCGTCAAAAACGCTCAGGTTAAGGGCTCACTCACCTTCCTAATCGGCTGTGCTAAGGGAATGAGAGACTAAGCGCGGAGAGGAGAGTATGAGGCGAGAGAGCGCTACAGATGAGAGAGCGCCAGACAACAGCCTGATAAGAGAAAAAAAAGTCTGCAGCTTGGGCAGCTTACTTTGCAAGGCCCAAGCGCTCTTGTCGGTTGGTTTCCGTGCACGGGAACGCCACATTTGTGATTGATCTCTAGGGGCTCTAAAGGATAGAACATTTGCCGTTGATCAATCCCTTTTTGGGAATGCGGCACGCATTGTACTTCCAAACTTCGCAATTGCTACATTCGTTAAGTGTGCTTTGAACTGCGGATGGTAGCCTACAGTTATACGATGGCCTTTGAACAATGACTTGCGGGGGCCAGCCGATGTTCAAGTCAGTGTTTTTATCCTCCCAGACAAGTCTGGTACCAATTAACCGACCCCGGAGGGATGGAAGGCTTGGTTGGCCCGGGCGACTCACGACCCAGGATTTGATCCCCGGACCGCTCGCGTGGTGAGCGCGCCACTTGCCACTACACCACCGGCCCACGCTCC